TTCTGGGGAACGGGCCCCCACCCAGCCTGGGTGTGGGAAGCAGAGCAGCCGCCCTCAAAGAAGGTCACAGCCTGGAAAGGAGGCCGGCACCCCTGCGTCAGCGGCCCTGGCCCCCCACTCTCTCCCTCGCCCCTGGCCAGGGAGGGTGACCACATTACATGAGAGGGCCGTGCCTTTGTCCCAACGGCTCGCCCACTCTGGGGGAAACTGAGGCTTAGGCCCATTGCAGATCCCATGGAAGGCCTGAGGGCGCCAGTGCCAGGTGTGGTGGGAGAGGGGTGCCAGGGGACGGGGCCCACGGGTAGAGGCTCCAGCCAGTGGCAGGCCGGGTCCCAGACTGCACTGTGCCCCCGCCCGCCTCCTGCTGCCCCCCCCCCCAGGAATATGCCCTCCCTCACTCACATCCTTTTCCTGTCCTTCCTGCCTAGAGCGGAAACCAGCTCAGATTTGGCTGGGGAGCCCAAGGAAGTCAGGGTAGCCACAGCCTGGGGGCCTCTGCAGGGCTGCTGTCTCTGCCCAGTGCAGGGTGCACCTGCAGGCCAGGTGAGATGGCCTCGAGTGTCAGGTGGGCACCAGTGCCAGGCCAGTCTCTGCATCTGCCCCTGGCTTCCTGACCACACCAGTGCTACCCATTGCCTCCTGAGCCCCACAGGGGTGCAGCCCTAGTGGAGGGGTCAGGCTAAGGAGTGCACAGGGCGGGGGGAAGGAGGGGTGCCAGAGGCCTCAAAGGCACCTTGCCACACTCCACGTCCTTTCCCTTGGAGTGCCCACGGTGTACCAGGTGCCAGGCCAGTCAGCCCCCAGCAACCTTGGGGCCAGATCGGTTGGGGCACCACTCCACAGGTGGCAAGGAGGGGCCCAGGCTGAGGAGGGGCCCTGGCTGAGGAGGGGCCCTGGCTCTCCTGTGCCAGCGGTCACTGCTGAGCCGGAGAGTCAGGCAGCGGTACCAAAGTAAGTAGGCAAGCCAGACCCCACCAGGGATGGGGACCCTCTGCGGCTGGGGTGCTCTTTCCAGGAGCAGGACCTCCGGCCCTGCGTCCTGTCCTGAGGGGGGCAGGCTGACCGCACCCCTTCCCTAGTAGAGCCAAGATGAAGTGGGCGGGGCAGGGGGGGGATGCCCAGCACAGCCACTTCCTGGAGACGCTGCTCTGACCCAAGGCCCTGGACAGACAGACGCTGGAGCTGGGGAGAGGCCAGGGGACATGGGAGGCTGTATGTCCTTCCCTCCTCCCAGGCAGGTCTGGCCCCAGCCTGTCTGCACTTCCACTCTGTGCAGCCTCTAGAAAGAGGAAAGGGCAGCTGACCAGGGACAGTACTCAGTGTGGTCCCCACAGTCACACCTGTACCATCCAGCCTGCCTTCCTGCCTCCCCAGCTCTCTGCTGCTCCGACTGGCTGCGTCCCTCCGGGAACCCCCTGGGCTCACACAGTGCTGCCAGCCCACTCTGGCTCTGAGGCAACCCACCCGGGTCCTGAGCCTTCCTCAGTCTGGGGACCACCTTTGGCCCCTTCCGAGCTGGGGTCAGTCGCCAGCTGACAGGGTGGGCTATGGCCCCGGTGCCAGGCGGTGCCTGAGCGGCCAACGAGCGGGCGGGAGCCGCCACAGCGATTGTCTGCAGTAGTTCCTGCCCCGGGCGTCCTTCCTGCGCTCTGGCCCGCTGGCCGGGCTGAGTGTTTGTTATTTGATCTGTATCCTCGCTCGGCCCTTCTACCAGGTGTCTGGGCTGCTGGGAAGAAATCCTCTCCTCTTTCCCACGCTCCCCGACACATTTTAATGAATTAGCTGGAAGCCCCGCCCCCACTGCCTGCCTGCCCGCCGGCCTGCTCACCCCCCCTCCCCCTCCTAGTGCCTTTAAGGTGGCCGCAGGCCTTGGCCCAGCTCTGGCCAGCTGCCCTTTGGTGCTGTCCTCCCCTGGCCGCCCCAAGCCAGATCTTCCCAGCCCAGGTCCCAGAATGCCCCCCAAGCTGCACCCTCACATTGCAGCGCACCGTTCCTGCTCTGAGCCTCCAAAGGAAGAGTGAGCCCCTAGAAGGAGAAGGGGGCCCTCTCCAACCCTGGCCTCCACCCACCATCACTGGCGCCCCCAGGCCAGCCCCCCAGCAGAAAGATGGGGTCCAGCCTGGTAGTCAGAGTTGGGTGTGTCTGCTCGGATCCCAGGTACAGGCTTCTCTTTCAGAGTCAGCGAGCCACTCCACAAACTCTCAGAGCCCAGGGGGTGCCCCGCCCCCGCCCACCAATGCATTTGGAACAAATGTCCTCCATTTGGACCTGTCCTTCAGCAAACATTGAGGAAGTGTGTACTGGGACCTGGTGCTGTGCAAGGTCTGCTGTGGGACAAGGAGCGATAAGACCATCCCGGCCAAGGAGGAGGGCCCGAGTCTCTGTGGTGTGTCAGCCTCCCCCACCCCCACCCCCACCCCCGTGGACAGTGCAGCCATCACCCAAGCCCACAGAGGAGTGCCGGACAAGGGGCTCGGGCCATGACTGCACAGCAGTGGCAGGCCAGACTACACCCGTCTGACCCGCACTCCCAGCAAGCCCTGGGTGGGGCGGCCGCGACCTCAGACTAGGCTCCCAGGCCACTCCAGCCACACGGGCCCTGCTGTGGGGCGCCTGAGCTGCCAATTTCATGGCCCGTGGTGGCGGCCGCACGTTCCCACACTGAGCTCACAGGGCCCCTTTGTCTGCCCACCCTGACGCCCGCCGGCGATGTCAATAGGACTTTTCTCCCAGGCTCTGTCCCGGACCCAGCAGGGTCTCCAGATGCCCTGCTCCAGACCAGGGGCCTGAGCTCACCTGGGCCTGTCTGTGAACGCACCACCTTCCAGGGATGGATGGCCTTGGGCATGACTGGCCCCGGCAGATGCACGGAAAACACACACATGGCTGGGAACTCCAGCCCATCCGAACACACCCTCCCCACCATTCCATGGAGCAGAAGGTGGCAGGGCCCTGACAAGGTCACATGCTTGCCCACTCCAAGGGTCCCTGTCCTCTGCCCAGCCTCCTGGGCAGCCCATGTGCTACTCCCTGGTGCCGGGGAGCAGGGAGCTGGAGGCGATCAGGAGCCCCACTCTGCAGCAGCAACTGATCCCAGGCTCCCTTACCGGGTCGAGGGACAGGTCCCCACAGGAACAACAGGATCAGGGAGGGGCTCCGGATAGCAGTGGCACCCCCAGGTCACACCCACGGCCAGGCCAAGTGCAGGGCCTGGGCTCATGGCTCGGGTTCCTGTGGGAGCAGGTCTGAGCATAACAGCAATGCCACCAGCCTCAGGTGGCCCTGGCTACTGGGAGGACCCCAGGGGAGTCAGCCAGAGTCAGGTCTGAGGGCAGCGGGCCAGGGGCAGCCAGCCCAGGGGTGGCCTTGCCCAGTTTTTCTTGTGGTTTGGCTGTGACCCCTTCCCAACCGAGCAAGGTGGGAGGCACACCCACATGGGTTTTAAAGCATGGGGGGGAGCCCATCCCCAAACAAGGCCTAACAGGGTGGTCTCCCCAGCTGAGGCCCGGAGCTGCCTCATGGGGAATTCCCAGTGGCTTCTGAAGGGATGCAAGTCCCTGCCTGCTGCCCCCTGCGGGTCTCGCTGCCAGGCGTACTGCTCTGAGAATCATTTCTCCTTCATTCCCAGCGACCACAGCCGAGCTATAAACTGTAAAATCCTAATGAGGAAATTTGGCGGCAGCGTTACAGAGTCAATAAAAAATGGGTTTACAGTTTGGAAATGAGTCACTTGAGCTCCCTTTCAGAGCAGTCCTTGGTGCCTCACCTGGCCAGGCTTTACCTGTCCCCATTCACGCTGCTGGGGGTGGCTCAGGAGAGGGGGGCAGGCCCTGAGGTCCTGCTGACTGACTACCCCACTGCAGAGCCTCTGGCCACACGGCCTCAGCCCTGGGCTTCCTCATCTAGAGACCTCTTCCTCAGCACAGGGCTCAAAGCCTCGGGGTTTGACTCCCCACGCCAATCATGTTGGGGAGCAAACACAGGGAGCCACCCTCGCGGGAAAAGGACCCACGTGGCTCAGGCCACGTGCCCGAGCTGTTCGTGGTTTTCATTCGCGCTGACTGTGTGTCCCAGGGGCCGGGCTGGGCGAGTCTAATCGCGTGCGTCCCGCAGACGGTCCCTGGCTGGGACTCCGACAGCTAGGAGCGAGACCAGAATCTCTACCTGGGCCTCCTGGGGCCTGAGATGCTCCCGAAACCCCACCCAGGGGAGGCCGCGCTCAGGTCCACCTCGGGGTCGCTCTCGATCCAGGGCCCAGGCCTGGGTCTGTCAGCTAAGGGAGCTTGGAATTCCCCGGGTGGCCGCAGAGAGAGTGGGCGGGACGACGTCGCAGACACGGAAGGCTGGGTGGGGGTGAGGGCCCCCCACGGCCACCAGACTTCCCTCTAGTGCGGCCGGCGACTAGCGCCCCCTGCCGTGAAGCGCGCCGCCGACCGGACACGCCTCCGGGCACGCCACGCCCAGGCACCGCCCACGCCCACGCCCCCACGCGACATCGCCCAATCGGCAGGCTGCCGGCGCGCGCGTCACCGGCGCTCCATTGTTATGCAAATATAAAGGAGGTAAAAGACGCCCCGGCCCGGCGGGCGGGCGAGAGCAGCGGCGCGTGGGGAGGCGCGTGGGGTCCGTGTAGGAGCCACAACCGAAGCAAGTAGACCCGAAAGCGCGGCGTCGCCTTCCCGGCTCTCCGGGCCCCCGCGAGCTCAGTGCCCGTCCCCGTCGCCCGCCCGCCCGGGCGCGGCTGGATGAGGCGGGGGCCCCGCGGCGGCGGCCCCCGGCCCCCAGCGCCCGGAGCGCCCAGGGGCGGCGTGC